GCTGCTTTCAGTCCTGCGTTGTCTCCACTGCTCACTTGTCTCACTGCTCACTTTGCTCCAGGCACCACATCAGGGCTTTTGCCCTGGCTGTTCTTTCTGTGCAGATCACTCTTTGGGAAATCTGCTTGGTTTCTTCTCTTTGCTTCCTTTAAATCTTTACTCAAATTTCAGTTTATTAGTGAAGCCTATTATGACCACCTGACCCTGACCTCTTCTTTAAATGTATCCTCCATGAGGACAGGAAATTTGGCTGACTGGTTCACTACTGTATCCCCAGTGCCAAGTATAGTGCTATAGTAGGTTTTTAATAAATATTTGTTGAATGAAAAGATGAACAGGTAGAGGAATACATGACTATCATAGTGTCATGTAACCTCCATGTTAACTTTGACGTATGTGATGTGATCTCTCTCCATTTGATACATGTGATAAATCAAAGGGATCAACTTGATGACCATGGGGTTATAAACCCATTATACTTAACTACGAGTAATTCATCCTAAAATTCCTGTTAGGTGAAAGGAGATATTATTCTGTATCATTCTCCTCTAAACTAAAGAATATTTCCTTATTAGTGATTAGATTTTTTCCATATAATTTTTTAATCGCAGAGATCTTGCTAATCTAATTAATTGAAGAAATATTTATTGAGGGCCTAAATATACACAAGCATTAATTTAGTCTCTGGGACATACTGATGAACAGGACAGAAAAACCTGGAGTTTACAGTTAGAGAAACAGATACACAAATTAAGAAGAAAATATCAGAGTTGTAAGTGCAGTGTAAAAAATTAAAAGGGGGTGATGTGGTTGGGAGTGACCAGTGGCAACCAGATTGGATGGTATGCTGGATAGTCTCCATTTGCCCCTCCTGACCTGCTCTTTGCTCTTCTGCACACTGCTTTAATATTTTAGGAGCCTAATCTTTCTGGACTGTATCATTGTGCTCCCTTGCCATTGGCCTCTGGTTGTGTTTGACCAATGGCAACCTTTGGCAGATTTGAGAACTGGGGAGGGGTGAGGGCTAAAGATGAGATGAGCTCTGTATGTTTGTGAAACTGAAAGATTTTGACTCAAGTGTAGTAAGCAAGGGAGAGGTCTATAAGAAATAAGGGCGAGATCTAGGCGGGTACCAGATCTCCGGCTGTGCGTTAATGTCCCCA